AGATTTAAAGATCTATCACGTATGTCTAAATGTGAAGCAGCCCTGAATATAAAATTATCTTCTTTCCCAAAGGTAAAAATTATCCAGAAAGTTCTTGTTTTTTTTTTGTTTTCCGTTGGCCAACATAAGTATGTACTTTGTACCAGGAATCATTCTAGGTTCTGGGATACAAGGAAAAAATGAAAGAAAAAAAACACACACAAAAGACAGAAATCACTGCCCTCGTAGGGTCTACATTTCTGGCAGAGAAATTATACAGGATGTTAAAAGAGATAAGTGCTATATAGAGAGAGTAATGAAGTGGGGGAAAATCCAGGGAATGGTGGCTATGTCAGTGTGCGTGCAAGCTCGTGCGTGTGCTTGTGCGTGTGTTTTGGTGTGGGGGTGGGTGCTGCCTCACAAGGTGGTATCAGCGTGGATTTAATGAGGTGAGAGAGTGAGCCATGCAGTTAACTAGGGGAGGAGCGTGGAGCTCAGAGCCCTTGAGGGAGGAATGTGGCGGGCATGTCCCAGGAATGGCTCTGAGGAGGCCAGTATGGCTGCTGCAGAGTGCGAGGTTGTTTAGGAGTAAGGTCCTAGGAAATGGGGTTAGGATGACAAGATGAAAATCTAGGTTGACTAAAGGTCATATGGAGGACATGTGGCCACAGGGCATATTTAATCTATACATTTATCACATGCAAATGGCGAGGGGGCCTTAGGGCATTGTTAGGATCTTGTCTTTTAATGAAATGGGCAGCTTGGAGGATTTGCAGGTGAGTAATGTGAAATAAGTTTAAAAAGGATTCTACTTCAGTTTAAAAAGGATCTTTTGGCTTTTGAGAGTAGGTTGAAGGGGGCAAGGGACACCAGTTAAAAGATGTATGCAGTAAACCAAGTGAGAGATGAAGATTTGTATTCTGTTGTATGAATGTACCACATTTTAGCTGCTTGCTTTTTTTTTTCTTCAGTTTTATTGAGACATAATTGACATACAAGGTTGTATTAGCTCAAGGTGTATAAGGATTTGATACATGTATATATTGGAAAATGATTGCCAAAATCATTTTAACATCATTCACCACATAGTTACAGGTTTTTTCTTGTGATGAGAGCTTTTAAGATCTACTTCTGTAGCGACTTTCAAATATATAATGTAGTATTATTAACTATGGTCACTATGCTATATATGACACCCCAGAACTTATTTATAACTATAAGTTTGTACCTTTTGACCACCTTCACCCATTCCTAGCAAACCTCCACCCCTTACCTCCTTTGCCTCTGACAGCCACCAATCTGTTTTCTTTGTGAGTTCAGTTTTTAAAAATTCCACATATAATTAAGATCATGTGGTATTTGTCTTTCTCTCTCTGACTTATTTCAATTAGCATAATGCTCTTGAGGTCCATTCATGTTGCTACAAATGGCAGATTTCCTTTTTTTATGGCTTGATAATATTCCACTGTGCATTTATATTTAAACTGTATATTTTTTAAACCTATTAATTATGGACAGACACTGAAGTTGTTTCCATGTCTTGGCTATTGTTAATAATGGGGGTGCAGGTATCTTTTTTGATATAGTGATTTTTGTTTGCTTTAGATATATACCCAGAAGTGAAATTGGTAGATCATATAAAAGTTCCATGGTTAGTACCTTGAGGAAACTCCATACTGTTTTCCATACTACCTGCACCAGTTTACGTTCCCACTGACACAACATGGGGATTCCCTTTTCTCCACATTCTTGCCGGTACTTCTCTCTTGCGTTTTTCAATGATAACCATTTGGTGAGATGATATATCTCATTGTGGTTTTGATTTGCATTTCCCTGATGCTTAGTGAGTGTTCACTTGTTGATGAACATTTGGGTTGGTTATTTTGGGTATTGTGAGTAAGGCTTCTATGAATATTTGTGGACTAGCTTTTGTTGTGGACACACGTTTTCAGGACTCTTAGCTCAATTTCTAGGAGTGGAATTACTGGGTCATGAGATAGATCTACACTTAACTCCGGAGAAACTCCCCAAAGATTTTCTAATGTGGTTTTGCCATTTTACATTCTGCATACAATGTATGAGAGCTCCACACCCCAGCGGGTCCTTCATCTTTTTGTTGTTAGCCATTCTAATGGGTATGTAATGGTATCTTACTATGCTTTTAATATGCAGATGAGAAGTGTCTGGATCTTAATGTCCTTATCCAGAAAGTTTATTTTATCCTCATTGTTGAAGCATTGGTTCCTTTTAGCTGAGACTTATAATAACTTTTATTTATTTATTTATTTATTACATTTATTTTTTCAGTCCTGGTTGATATCTGTTAGTGTATACTTTTGTTTAAATCTTAATTTTTTAAAACTGACCCATCATTGTAACTTTTCAGACTACTCAAAGGATATATTATGATTTATTAAAGGCTGGCGGTGGCCTATTTAATCTCAGTTTTGTTTTTGGGAAACAAATGCATTTAAAATGGGAAAGTATAATACTGATATTAAATTTCTATCCTACTTTTAAGTCATTTATGTCTGACAGTGTAATTTAAGTTTTACCTTGGGTGTGGTCTGACTTCCTTTCTATATGTTATCATTTAGAATGAGAATGCATTCTGTGTGAAAAGAACAAGTCTGGGTAAATGCAAATGATCTCTAAATACTCAACTGAGATGTGGATTTTAAATTCTTTTCCAGGTTCCTGATGTTATAAGCAGCATAAGGCAGTTATCGAAAGCTGCCATGAAAGAGGATGCCAAAGCCAGCAAAGACAACGAGGATGCCTTTTACAACTCTCAGAAGTTCGAGGTCTTGTACTGCGGAAAGGTGACCGTGACCCACAAGAAGGCCCCGTCGAGCCTCATCGACGACTGCATCGAGAAGTTCAGCCTGCACGAGCAGCAGCGCCTGAAGAGCCAGGGCGAGCAGCGCGGCGGCGCGGAGGCGGGCGATGACCCGGTGGTCTTCGAGGCAGCAGCCTCAGAAGTCCTGGCGGAGGAAGGGGATGGCCTCCCCAGCATCCAGCCCGCCTTCGCAGCCGCGGCCGGCCAGCCCGGGCTGCCCAGCTCTCGAGTTGGCTTCCCGGAGCGGATTTTGGAAGATTGTGGCTTTGACGAACAGCAGGAGTTCCGGTCTCGGTGCAGCAGTGTCACTGGCGTCTTACAAAGGAAGGTTCAGGAGAACAGCCAAAAACCACAGCCGCGGAGGAGACACGCCAGCGCGCCGAGTCACGTACAGCCCTCGGATTCGGAGAAGAATAGGACGATGCTGTTCCAGGTGCCGCCCCGGCGGGGTTGGGGGGAGGGGAGGATGCGGGCGGGGCTCCCTCGCGCGGGGCGCTGACCGGGCCGGCCCCGCCCTGTTCCGCGCTCTGCGCTGGCTCCTCCAGTCTCCGCTCTTCCCTGCCAGAAGAGAAGGCTGGTGGAGAAAAGAGCAAAGGCGAGCAGAACAGGGCTGCGAGGAAGACCTGGAATGCGGATTTTAAGAAATGAGGGAACGGGACACGGAGAGACGGAGAAAAAAGCAATGAAGTAGATTCTCCTTCGTGCCCCCAGCGTTTGCCTTAGATTGATCTTAAATAGAAGTTGTTGGCTGTCTCTTATACAGCTGCAGAAAGCCAGTCTTACAGCGGATTTAAAGATGTGAATCTAGGAAAGTGAGATAGGCATGGGGTTAGAGAAAGTTTTCTTTAGAGAAGGAAAAGTCTAGAGACTCACAGGTGTATTTTCAGATGAGAACACACCAGTTCCTTCTGTTATACCCAAGAAGAAGGTTAAAGAAACATCATGGGCCTGACTACTTACTGGATCCGTTACTAAAATAATGTGGTACAGACTGTATTATAGATGTAAAAGATACATCTTCATTCTGAAAAGTAGTTTTCGAATTTGTACAGGAGATAGAAAATGCCAAGTTGCACCTAAAAGAAATTCAGTGAAAACAAAGCCCTGGAAAGGTTCTTTAGTCCTCAGCTTGTAAGATCTGACTTTTCCTGAAAAAAAAAAAAAAAAAAAAAAAAAAAAAAAAAATGAGTGACTGTCCTTTTGTCCTGTGGTAACGAACCCTAGGCAAGGAAATTCCACAGTGTACCTTGGTAAACAATCCCTGTGTGTAATCCTGACCTATCAGGTTCATGGGTTCTTTTGTTTTGTCCTCTTTTGTTTTTGATAACTCTAGGCATGTAATGAAAGTGTCCATGGTCTTTTCTTGGGTGATAACTCTGACTGAGCTTCCTCTCTTTTGGGGCTGTCGGATTTATTCATTTTTTTAACTAGCATCAGGAATTGATGTTAATTTCTCTGGTTGTTGGTTTTCAAAAATTTTAACTAATCTGTCCAATTGCAAATACTATCTTTGCATTTGGGAGGAAGTATGATTATCAATTATAATAAAATAATTGGTGCTTTAGAAATCGTGAAGTGAGGAAAGGTTGCATGTTTTTAAAAAGACAATCACTTTTAATATGAAAAAAAAAAAAGGTTTCTTGTATCTTGTAACTTAAGACCTGTTTAGTTTTCATGATGTTTGGACAAAAGGAGGAAATGTGGTGAGGCAGCTGATATTTGGAGTTGAAATACTGGTTGGATTGGGTGTTGAAGCACATGTGAATATGTGAGCAATTGAATCTATATTACTATTTGGATATTTAATTGTAAAGTAAGATGTTGGGTCCTTGCAAGTTGAAATTCACTGGAATGTTTTTATTTTTAAGGTTGGGCGGTTTGAGATTAACCTTATCAGTCCAGACACTAAATCAGTTGTGCTTGAAAAGAATTTTAAAGATATCTCTTCTTGTTCTCAGGTATGTATTAAGGTACATCTTATGTTTGATGAAGCCAACTTAATCTTGTTTTTATTTAAAAAAAAAAAAAATTTTTTTAATATTTATTTTTTGAGAGAGAGAGATAGAGCACAAGCAGGGGAGGGGCAGAGAGAGAGGGAGACACAGAATCTGAAGCAGGCTCCAGGCTCTGAGCTGTCAGCACAGAGCCTGATGTGGGGCTTGAACCCACAAACCGTGAGATCATGACCTGAGCCGAAGTCTGGCACTTAACCAACTGAGCCACCCAGGCGCCCCACTTAATCTTGTTTTTAAATTAACCATCCAATAACTAGATTTAGACTCCTTCAAATTTTACTGTTTTTTTTGGAATTTAATTTTTTTTTTTTTTTTAAATTTTTTTTTTTTTCTAACGTTTATTTATTTTTAGGACAGAGAGAACAGAGCATGAATGGGGAGGGGCAGAGAGGGGAGACACAGAATCGAAACAGGCTCCAGGCTCTGAGCCATCAGCCAGAGCCTGGACGCAATGGCAGTGCTCAACTCACGGACACACAGCGAGATGATTGACCTGGCTGGTCGGATGCCGAACGTAACCGACTGCGCCACCCAGGCGCCCCATGGAATTTAATTTTTTAAGTGGATTTGTCTTAAATAAGAGCTCTTGTGTTTGTGTCTCTGCTGATAACAAAATCCTGTCCAGGTCCCTCAGTATATTAATAGTTGGTCCTCATTTTTGTCTTCTCCTTGTAATGTCACTTCATCAGATACCTTCCTCTGGTGGAATTTTTGTGGTGGGGAGTTCTTTTGGACATACCTTCACAGTTAGTGTTCCTCAGAGTCTCGGGCGGTGGGACTTGTGGGTATCACTGAGTCATGTTTGCTCTTTATATCCTAGTAGGTAGTAAAAGGAGAACTAGTACTTTCAACCTCTTTTAATGTAAATGCTAAAGTTGGAAAAACAACGTTTTGGTATATTTTTGTTCTTTGTTTATTTTTAGGTCACAAACTGTGTATTTGAATGTTTTGAAATTATTCACACAGCTAAATGTGTGCAAGGTCATAGTAGGCCTGCACCAGTGTCCACAGTAATAATTTACAATGTCTGTCTGAAAGTTAGAGCTTCCTAAATATATTGTAAACACAGAAAGAGTTTTTGAAGATGTTGGAGTGGAGAGAGTATCTAAACCTAAATATGGGAAGGTTAATAATGCAAGGATGCCTCAGTGGAGGCCTCTGGAATAGAAAAGGATTAACTTCTCTCCTAGTGGGGTGACTTAGGTGCACCTTTAGGGACCTAGATCTTGCCAAGGTCCTTTTCTGTATTTTAATGTTGAAAAATCAAGACTACCAAAAAAAACAAAACAAAACAAAAAAAACCCCAAACACACAAGACTACCCATTTATTTTTATTTTATTTTAATTTTTATTTTAGAGAGTGTGTGAGCAGGGGCGAGGGGCAGAGGAAGAGAGACTCTCTGAGACACTCAGTACAGAGCCCTATGTGGGGCTCCATCCCACAACCCAACCCTAGGACCGTGATCTGAGCTGAAATCAAGAGTCAGACACTCAAACCGACTGAGCTACGAAGGCACCCTGGGACTTCCTATTTATTTTTAAATTTCAGAGTTAGCATTGCCATAGGTATAATAGTTAGACATTCTGCCTTTCAAAAATGACAAGCTTTTGTACATCTTGTTAATTATTCACCCTGGCCTCAGCTAATGCAGTTTTGCTTCTAATATTCTAATATTTGTTATATTACATGGTGACATAAAATAATGTCATGAAGGTAAAAACTTTCTACTTTAATAACAGAGAGAGAGAGAGAGGCAGCATCTTTATAGGAATGATGAATGGTAATTTTCTAAATTCTACTTGAAGGACCAAAAATGTGGTAGAAAGATTATATTCACTTTAACTGAAAAAAACAAAAAAAAAAGTTTATTTATTTATTTAGAGCAAGAGTGTGAGCAGGGGAGGGGCAGAAAGAGAGGTAGAGAGAGAATCTCACGTGGGCTCTGCACTGTTGGCACAGGGCCTGATCCAGGGCTTGAACCCGTGATCCGCAAGATCACGACCTGGGCCAGAATCAAGAGTCAGATGCTCAACTGGCTGAGCCACCCAGGCATCCCTGAAAAAAATAGTTATTAAGTCTTGTAATTACCTGCCTACTGGAGAGTCCCTGCATGATCATAAACTTTGTGAGGGCAAGTGTCTTATTTTGTGGTGTCTCATTCTGTAAGGCATCAGAATAAAATGTTAAGATATGGCTTAATAGTTAAGTGTTCAATAAATGTTGAATGAGCATTTCTACATGTGGGACCTTGTGGCAAGTATAGAGGAAGAAGTGATGTACAAACCAGTGTAGTTTCTGCCCCCCAGAACACCAACAGTCATTCTAAAAAGCTATGCCTCTCACCTGTCCAGTCCTCAGACCTCCCAGTAAGGAAACTAGCAATTATCATTGAACATCCAAAGGTGGGGAGGGGGGGAGGGGGGAAGAGGTGTAAAAAAAAAAAAAGGAAAAAACCCCAACCAAACCAAATATATAAAACTAGCAGTCCAAACATGATTTTGCTTTTCCCCCTCTTTTTCTAAAACAAGCTTTGTTTTCTAACCTTCTGGTGCAGAAAAAGAATTAAACATTTGGGGAAAGGCCTTTGTTGAGAATATTTGTCAGGTTAACCTCTGCTCCTCACTGAGTGCCCTGCTCTTATTGCTTGTCTCCACACTGAACTGAACTGATACAATGTGGCCACATTCAGCAACAGACCTGCTTTTTAACACATTCACACCCACAAACAGTTTCTTTGGGCAAAATCTATAGGACTGTGTCCCTGGCAAGCATAGGGAAGAAGGGAGTGGCTTTTCTTTTCTGGAGACATTGCCACTTCAAGCAGTTAATGAGGTGCTATGAATTTTTCCCATTTAGTACTAAGCTAGTAAAAGATATTTTTTAATCACTAAGGAGTTGTGCCAGATGGAGCTTACTTTTACCTCATAAATTGTAACCTCATTCCTCCTTATTGACTTTTTTCTTTGGTCAGAATTGATTTCCCTTATTCATATCCATTGGATAGACTGAGCATATTACAAGATACGTAATAGAGGTTACCGTTTATCAAAGTTATGTGCTGGTGACTATTATAGATAATTCTTAGTTGTAAATTTTGAAAATTGCTGGCATAGGTACCATACTACTACTATTTTATAATGAGAAACGGAGCCTTAGAGATCATTATTAGAAACCCAGCCCAATGTCTCATATCTTGTAGATGGGTTGAAGTAAGAATGAAGCACAAATCTGTCTGACTCCAAAGCCTATTTTCTTTTCACTGGGATTTAGGTGATTGCACGACAACTTTAAATTTTTTGTCTACCTGGCTTTTTAGAGTACTGTGCTTGCTATTAAAATAACAAGGTGCTGTCTCCTAATTGGTTATGTATGGATTCAGCCTGGCTGAAATTGACAGATGATTCACAATTTTTTTTTATTAAGCATAACTGAGGTTATTTAGCCTGCATTCAGAACGTACAGTGACTTTTAATTTGGATAATTGATACCTGCAGTAATTTCATTAATATATTATTTTTCTAACCGTTGTGGCTCCTTGAATATCTATGCATATAGACAGGTATTCTAGTATTTTCAGTGCACACTTTGGGGAATTGCATACCATTTAATTAGAGCATTGTTAGCTGTAGTGTTTCTGATTCTTAGCTTCATATAGTCGAGAACAGGGCTTCTGATAAAGTATCAGACTGTTCGTTCCAAGAAGACCAATAAATTGAAAACTCCATTACTTGCAAACACCGAGTAGCAGTTTTATTACAAGAGACAATGAATCACGCCATCATAGTTTTCTTCCTGTGGCCAGAGTCACAGTGTGCAGGAGTGTTTGTCTGAAACAAAGCAATCTGAATTGGTCTCTCCCTTTATTTTATGTGTCAAAAGACCACCACACAAATTTGCTGTGTCATTATGTCCCCTATCCCAGGGTTGAGAAGGAGTAATTCATGGAAGCGTGAAAGCATAGAACTGATGCTAATTTCCGTAGTGTTGATTAAATGGACATATTCCAATGAACGCTGTACTTTTTTCCCCAACTGTAGGGTATAAAGCATGTTGATCACTTTGGCTTTATCTGTCGGGAGTCACCGGAGCCTGGGCTGAGCCAGTATATCTGTTATGTGTTCCAGTGTGCCAGTGAATCCCTGGTAAGTGGTTGATCGTTGTCCGCTAGTTCCTGCCCACTCCGGCTACCAGGGTGCACCCAAGCCTCACGCAGCTGCCACCAGTGGAAAAGAAGAGGGCATCTAGAGACAGGTCTCTGCTGTTTAAAGCAGCACAATAGTAAGAAAGACAAAAACATAGTGTCACGGTAATTTTTAAGCCTAGATGCCTTCTGGAGTTGAACAAATCCAGTCATGTGACCAGGAGTATTTGTACAAGGTAGGAAAACACTAATAACAGGAAAAGAGCTGTTCTTTTTCCCATTGCTCAGATAAGACGAAAAGGAAGACCACGGATCTGTTATTCTCTGAATTATTATAACATCTCAGAGGAGGTAATGCTTACATCAGCAGAGAAGGATTTGGCTTTCTTAATTAGCGACTGTTCTCATTTTTTAAAAACTTTATTTCTTATGGTCTTATTTTAGCCTTTATTTTCTTTCTTTGGAATTTGAAAGTTGATTCTTTTTTCCAACACCCTCCCCTCACTCCCTCTACCTACCCCTTCATGGGGGCAGCTGGAGCTGAAGAAAAGTTAAGGCAAACTTAGAAATGCACGTGAGCAACTAAAAATATTTTGATATTTTTCCCCTAACATTTTTTACTTTTTCTTCCACTTTTATGATCTCTCCTAACCATTTTAACACAAACCTTTAGCTCTGTCACCATACTTTGAAGAAAAATATGTCTGTAGGTATATAGTCTGCCTGCAAGCATTTCTCCTGGGGAAACACACACCTCTTAGATGTACACAACAAGACAGACAGCATTCTCCTCATTTCTTTGGTGCACATTGCCAGCATTTCTGCTCAACTGTGGCCTCCCATACTCCCCATATAGACACTGAGAGTAGGAAAAATGAAGAAATGGGAGTGAATTGGTACAAAGGCACTTTCTTTCTTTCTTTTTTCTTTTTTCTTTTTTTTTTTTTTTTTTTTTTTTGAGTTTTGTTCATTTATTTTGAGAGAGAGAGAGCGCGAGCAGAAGAGGAGCAGAGAGACAGGGAGAGAGAATTCCGAGCAGGCTCTGCTCAGTGCTGGCTGCACGTGGGGCTCGATCCCACGACCGTGAGATCACAACCACGAGATCACGACCTGAGTCCATACGGTATCAAGAATCTGGCGATCAACCAATGCGTCAGCCACCCAGGTGCTCCAACAAGGGCACTTTCTGCCTGGGGCCCTCTGGGATCTCAACCTGTTTCTCTGGGGAATAGAGTACTCCCATCACTAACAATTTCTTCCTCAAGAGAGTTCCATTTACATTTTGTTCTCATGCTAGATAATTAACCATGCCCAGAAAAACTCCCCATGTTGAGATCCAGGTGACCACTGTGTAATGGGTCCAGTTCAGGATTGGAGATAGAAATTTGAGAGTTGCCATCATATAAATGATAGTTGAAGGCATGGGAGCAGATGAGGACGGGGAAGGAGAAAGAGAAAGCCAAAGAGAACAGTGACACAGAACTGGAAAGTGCCAGCCAGGTAAGCATTAGGTAGAAAATAAGGCCAGGAGAATATGCCGTCCTGCTCCCTGCTCACCCCTCCCTCCCTCCTTCCATGGTTCCTCTTCCTTGCTGAGGCTGAGTCTTCCACCATGTCGGGGACCCCTTACTCTTCTGCCTTTCCAAAACCTGTCCAGTGTTCCGTGTTTTATTTTAGCAGCTCCATTTACCCAGCTTCTGAATTTAGACATCATAAGGCATTCTCCTTCACCTTCTGTACCCCTTGTTCACCAAATCCTGTTAAGGTAAAGGTAGAAAAGTCCCTTATCCATTTCTCCTCCTTTCCCTCTCTGCCTGCTACCTGAGCCTGGGCATTCCTCTTCCTTGCTTAGGCCATCATCACTCTAGGGTCCTAACTAGTCTCCCTGCCGCTCACTGGCTTAATATGTCATCCGTCCACTTTGTGCATCATGCTCTAGGTTTTTTTTTCTCCCAAAACTTCCAGGAACCAGATTATGCCTCCTTGTTTAAAAGACAAGCTCTAGGTTGTCTGGCATGGCAAAAGGGCCTTCCTCTTTCTCTGGTCCCCACTGGGTTGCCTCTCCCTTTCGTGACCGTATTCTCACATGGCCCGAGCTGGTCTCTGGGCCAGACAGCAGAGGCTGGTGTGATGATTGGTGTGAGGTTGCTTTCATGTGGTTTGGGACACATGGGATCAAGATGTTCAGTGAGTGGCTGGAGCCCACACAAGTACAGCTGACGTTCTGAGGTCACTGTTGGCTACGCAGAGTGAGGAGTCTGCTGTGTGAGAAGAAGCCACAGCCAGGGCTCACACTTTTATATTGTCAGGAGGGAGGGTGACCTGGTGGGTCTCCAGGGTCTGTGCTGCTTCCGAACAGGGAGACTGTGCCATTCTTTCATTACCTGTTTTCACATTCTCTTTACTTCTTCATTGGATGTGACCCCAGCCTGGCCTTGCTTTACTGTCACTTACGTCCCCTTCTTCTTTTCAGCTTTGTATTTGTGTACATCCTAGTGAAGCTTTCTCGGATGGCTTTTTTTTTTTTTTTTTTTTTTTTAAGGAATTGACTTCTTTTAGTTGCTTTATTGCCAGTGCTCTTGCGACACATTGTTTATAGGTCCCTAACAGTTCCTATCGATGCCCACTCTTACTTGTTCACATAACTTTCTAGTCCACTAGATTGTGACTCATACAAGGCCACGACCACCCTCATTCTTGTTGTATCCCCCCACGTTTCTAGACTAGAGTATCAGGTGGTCTTCCAGTGTATTCTGAGTGAGTGTGTGACTCTTATTTCAGACATTTTCTAGGTGCCAGTTAATCTGATTACTAGTTAACCTGCACTGAAGGGAAAACTACATGAAACCTTATTCTCAATCTCTTGTACAGGTTTGGTTTTGTTTATAGATTTTAGTATTTTTGTTTTGTCCTCATACATGTGTTTGAAACAGGGAGTTAAGAGTAGAAAGTCTGAGAATGTGCTGAATTTTCCACCTGAGGAAGCTCTGTGACTAAGGCCAGAGCCCAGACTGGCTGAGAATGTCTTCCTCTTACACTGAAGCTGTGTCCAAATCTCCATTTGGGCATTGCTATTCCTTAGAACAAGGCTTTGCCGGAATCTTTTAAAACTTGTTGATTCTAATTTTATCAGTGGCATCTTAACTGAAATGTGGGGCATCAGAACTCCAAGCTAGAAGAAAAACTAAATGAGATTTCCTGTATTAAATGAGGATAGTTCAAGCAGCTGGTATATAGACAAAACAGTTAATTAAATATTATAGTCTAAGCAGTGTTACGATTGATGTGGCTTGGCAGTTGTGTAAGACAAAGTATTGCAAAACCACACATACTGAGTTATCTTCTCTGAGTACAAAGAATACACAGCTCACATTTTCTTTTCTTTTTTTGTAGCAGTTGCTGTGAATTGATAAACAATGTAGTGGTTCTCATGACTCCTGGGGTTTTTCACCCCAAGTTTAGATGCTCAGTATGCCTTCTGTCCCTTGTAAACTAGCGGTAGGCAGGTGGCTTCATCTTGTTTGACTAAAACCATGAGATTGATGGAAAGCACCACTTTTGCAGTCTCCAAATTACTCTAATAGGCCTGGAAAAAAATGGAAGTTCCTACCTATAGACCAAGGAAAAGTAAAACCCCACAGATGCAGACAACAGTATCCAGGAAAAGTGTGGGGGGAAAAAAAGGCTCATGCTCCCAAGACCCAGAATTTGTATGGAGTTTAATAGTTTACATTTTCCAGAGAATTGAACTAGGTAATCCTGTGAAGTCCTTACATGTTCTGTGATTCTTACACTGATTCTTAAATGCTATGAAATACCTAAGTTTGGTGCATAAATGTTTATGGGCATTATCTTCATTATGGATTTATCCTTGTTAAGTCCTTTACTTTTAACCTCTTAACATGACCTATGATATTTTTGTTGTTATATCTAGACTAAAACAATTAAGTTATTCATACTGCACTTGTTTGAACTTTTAGTTGCTCTGATCCCATGATAGAATTTATAGGCCATCTAAAAAAATGATGGATCTAAACAAGCAAAACATTTAAAATTTTAGAAGTCTGATAAAGTTTTTAGTAATATTTGTGGCTGGAAGAAATTGGTAACCACATATTAGATACCATTGAAATGGGCTTTTGTTTCATCTAGAAATAAAGAAGAAAACGTGAAAGTTCAGTATTTCCATTGGAGGCCCTTTACAAAGCAGTATTAATAATTACACACAATAATTCCACATGAAAGCTAAGCAGAGGATTCATCCTTTCGGTGCCTTTAATAAATGAGAAACAAGAAAATAAAAACAAACATGTTCTCAAGTCATTGAAATTGCTTTTGAATACACAACAAGGCAAATGAAATAAAACTGCAAAGGCATTAAACATGTGGTGCTTTTGTTTTCAAGGGTGAGAAATTTTTATCTTTTAGTTATGGTGTAAGAGAGCAGATGTTATGAATAATTCATTATTTATGGAACAATGTGAAATTATTCACAAGCCTTTAAAAAATTGGTCACATAGTCAACTTAATAACGACTGGTTGCTCAGTGTTTGGATCTCTCCTTTTAGTAATATTAGAGGAATAAAGTTATTTCGTTGCAGGTTCTTCATACACTCGAATGCAGAAGTAGATGAAATCCTTTCTATAATAGCTTCTTCTTAAACCAGGCTGAAGGGGGAGGGGAAAAAGAGACTTGGGTTTTCAATAGCCAAGCTGCCTCTGGTGAGGACCTTGGTACCTCGCAGCTTCATATGGAGGTTTTAGACTTTCATCAGTGTACAGTATATGGGGAAACCACAACTCACATTGATGATTACATCAACAGGGGAGACGGAGCCTGAGGTCAGTGTAGCAGTGGTCGAGGATGACCCCAAAGAAGCAACCAGTAGGCTAGAATGCTAGGTTTACACTTCTTGACTGAGTCATTGGAAAGGCTGGGGGGAAACCGGCTCGAGGTTTTGAAACTGCTGACCTGGTGGTGAGACCCAGCTGTTCGCTAACATGATGTCAGAACTTCTTAGTGTCATAAATCAGAAGTGAAATGATAATAAATTAGCAGACACAGAGCAAGCTTCACAGACTTCCCTTGACCTGATTTAAATTGAACTTGTTTTCCCCCAGAACTTTGCTTAAACCCATGTTTTATTTGTTTTTACACTAAAAATGATCCAGAAGGATGAAGTAAATAGGATACCTATCACCAGAAGTGAACATTTAACCTCTTTTGTTGCTCCCTATGGATTGCAGACAAAACTTCCCAAGGAGTCTGTTATACTACTTAATTAAAGAAAGATCTGATTGACTGTCAGTGACGGTGGAGCCCTCAGTGGAATTCAAAAATAGCATTCAAGTCATTAGTGTGCTACACCTTCACATGGCCTCACTTTATCCAGCTTCAATGATAGGATAATTGAAGGTCTAAGGTTACACTTGATATTTTCTCTCTACTAGCTCTGTAGTCATCAAATTCCCTCATTTATTATTTAGTCAAGCATCCACGTCTCACGTTGCCGTTGGACTTTCAATGTGTGACCGTGAAAGCAAACTTTTAGAGACCTGAGTTCTGTTTCTTCCTGTAGGTGGATGAGGTAATGCTGACTCTGAAGCAGGCTTTCAGCACAGCAGCTGCCCTGCAGAGTGCCAAGACCCAGATCAAGCTGTGCGAGGCCTGCCCCATGCACTCTCTGCATAAGCTCTGTGAGAGGGTTGAAGGTACAGTATAACTTGGCCCCAGGGCAAAAGCAGATTTGCTCTGGCATTTGGGAAAATGAGAAAGTCACTCCTGTCATTGAATCGTTCTTTGTTTCTAAGTGAGATCAGAGCCCAAAGAGTCCTTTCTTATGTCCAGTCAGATTTGTGTGAGCAGTCTCTCTCCTAGGCGCCTGGCATTTCCCCCCACCCCTTCTTTCGTTCTCTTTTTAATTTTTTATTTTTTTTCTGAAGGCAGACTCGAGGAAGGGAGTTGGATTTCTCACCATTCTTAAGACTGCTGTGGACTTAGTGGGAACTGCCCAAATATTTGTCGAATGAGGGAAGAGAGGCAAAGGCATCCCAGAATGTCGACTGTTTATAGAAGTCTCTTTTTATTCCCCTCTCACTTGATGATATGTTCTTTTCCCTAAAAGTATAGAACTGGAATGAACCTTGCATGGTTTTTGAGGGACATTTGAAGATGATATGGATAATGTGATATCATAAAGCAGGTTTTTTAAAAAAAGTGTACTCAGGAAGGGGGAGGGGAAATGAGGGAGAGGTGACTCTGTGACTCACATCCCCTTTCTCCTCAGTATCTCTTACTAACAAACAAACAAAAAAAAACGGTTGAAAACAACTTCACAAGAGAAGAAATGCAAGTCAGTAAACGCTTGTTAAGCATCTGCTATGTGCCAGGCAATGTGCTCGGCACCGGGGATACAGAAATGACTGAGATGCGGCCTGTGCCTTCAGGAGCTTACAATCTAGAGTGGAAGACAGGCATGTGAGTCAGTGAATGCAGTTTGGCATGAGAGGTATTATGATAGATGGGGAGAACGCAAGCTCCAGAGCCCGGCAGAGAATGGTCTAGTCATTGTAAATGCAAATTGTGATTTCTGCTCAGTAGACAGCAAGATTATAGGCACATGGCAAAATTGATGATGAACATCAGTGTTGATTGAATATCCATTCAGCTTTGTGATCAAGGACTATTTAAATGTAATATTCAGATTTTAAAATGTATAGTATACCAAATGCACATTATTTTCACATTTGTACCGTTACAAAAATGGAGTATTCTTTGGTGTATAGTAAAGAGAACATTATAAATTTCTGGAGGAAAGGCTGACTTGCTCAGGAAGAAGTGTTGGATCATTTTTCTATCTAAAGAGAGAAATATTCCTTCCACTTACCCTACTCAAAATACATTCTAGGGGCGCCTGGGTGGCGCAGTCGGTTAAGCGTCCGACTTCAGCCAGGTCACGATCTCGCGGTCCGTGAGTTCGAGCCCCGCGTCGGGCTCTGGGCTGATGGCTCAGAGCCTGGAGCCTGTTTCCGATTCTGTGTCTCCCTCTCTCTCTGCCCCTCGCCCGTTCATGCTCTGTCTCTCTCTGTCCCAAAAATAAATAAACGTTGAAAAAAAAAATTAAAAAAAAAATACATTCTAGATGGATCAAACTCCTCAATGTAAACAAAATATTAAAATCATTAAAATAAAATAAGAATATTCTTGTGTCCTTAAACAAGAAAGCCTGTATTAAGATACAAAAATGCAGTAACTGTTAAAAGAAAACATTGATAGATTTGACCTCATAAGGATTTACATTTTTACATATCAACTACTTATTTGAAAGCTAAATAATAAATAAGAGGGGGCTCCTGGGTGGCTCAGTCCGTTGAAAGTCCGACTTCGGCTCAGGTCACGATCTCACAGCTTGTGAGTTCAAGCCCCGTGTCGGGCTGTATGCTGACAGCTCAGAGCCTGGAACCTGCTTTGGTTTCTGTGTCTCCCTCTCTCTCTGCCCCTAATCCACTCGCATTCTGTCTCTGTCTCTCCCAAAAATAAATAAACATTAAAAAAAAAAAAGAATAATAAACAAGAGGTAAGGAGATAGCAGATTGGTAATCAGAATTTATAAGAACACTTACTGTGTGAAAGAGAAAGATAAAACCACCAGTAGGCAATGACACAATTCATATTAAAAAACACTTGTGTAAAAAGGAAATTAAAAGGTCCAATAATAAAAATGAGAAGATTCTCAGCCTTATTAGATGTCAGACACATGAAAATGGAAAAAACAGTAAGATACTCATCAGATTAACTGTTGGTGAAATTGTGGGGATATTGATACATTTATGTGATGCTGAATGTTGTATAAATTGGTGTAGCCATTTTGGGGGACAGTTGATAGAAATGTATTAACCTAAAATTGCCCACCAGTTCCTTGTCTTGATAAGAGAAACTCTCACATGGGTTCAGAAGGTGACATTTTCAAGGTTGTATTGTTTTTAAATAAGGGGAAATTGTAAACAACCCAAATGTGTATCAATAGCATAACTGAAATATGTTCATACAATGAATTAATAGGAATGAATTTCAACTGTATATCAACTTGGATACATTTTAAAATTACATTTTAAAATTGAGTGAAAATATAATTTGCTGAATAACACATACACTTTGCTTTATCTGGAAAAATACATAATATCCTATATTTCTTTTTTTTAAAATTTATTTTTTAAATTTATATCCAAGTTAGCATATAGTGCAACAGTGATTTCAGGAGTAGATTCCTTGCTGCCCCTTACCCATTTAGCCCATCCCTCCTCCCACAACCCCTCCAGTAACCCTGTGTTTGTTCTCCATGTTTAAGAGTCTCTTATATTTTGTCCCCCTCCCTGTTTTTATGTTATTTTTGCTTCCCTTCCCTTATGTTCATCTGTTTTGTCTCTTAAAGTCCTCATATGAGTGAAGTCATATGATATTTGTCTTTCTCTGACTAATTTCGCTTAGCATAATACCCTCTAGTTCCATCCACATAGTTGCAAATGGCAAGATTTCATTCTTTCTGATTGTCAAATAATACTCCATTGTGTTTGTGTATATATATATATATATATATATATATATATATATATATGTATGTATACAGACCACATCTTCTTTATCCATTCATCCATTCATCCATCGAAGGACATTTGGGCTCTTGCCATACATTGGCTATTGTTGACAGTGCTGCTATAAACATTGGGATGCATGTGCCCCTTCGAAACAGCATACCTGTATCCCTTGGATAAATACCTAGTAATGCAATTGCTGGATCGTAGGGTAGTTCTACTTTTAATTTTTTGAGGAACGTCCATACTGTTTTCCAGAATGGCTACACCAGTTTGCATTCCCACCAGCAGTGCAAAAGAGATCCTCTTTGCATCCTCGCCAACATCTGTTGTTGCCTGAGTTGTTAATGTTAGCCATTCTGACAGGTGTAAGGTGGTATCTCATTGTGGTTTTGATTTGTATTTCCCTGATGAGTGATGCTGAGCATTTTTTCATGTGTTGGTTGGCCATCTGGATGTCTTCTTTGAGGAAGTGTCTATTCATGTCTTTTGCCCATTTCTTCACTGGATTATTTGTTTTTTTGGGTTTTGAGTTTGATAAGTTCTCTATAGATTTTGGATATTAGCTCTTTATCTGGTGTGTCATTTGCAAATATCTTTCTCCCATTCCATCGGTTGGTTGCCTTTTAGTTTTGCTGATTGTTTCTTTCGCTGTGCAGAAGCTTTTTATTTTGATGAGGTCTCAATAGTTCATTTTTCCTATATTTCTTTTTTAAAGAACTTTTAATTTGGTGTACTTTTAGATTAATAGGACAGTTGCAGAGAGTTTCCAAATGTTCACCCCTATCCTTTCCAATTGTTAACATCTTCTATAGCCCAGTGCAATGTTTAGCATAGGAAATTAACATTGGGACAATATTATTATCCAAACTAAACATTTAATTTGATCCTTCACCAGTGTTTTCATTCATGTCCTTTTCATTTCAGGATCCCAGTCAGGATTCTACCTTATATGTAGTGGTGACTTCACCCTCCTCCTCAGTCTCCTTGTCTTCTGTGACCTTGGCATTCGCAAAAGCATCACTCCATTACTTTGCTGGTTGTCCCTTGGTTCAACCTGTTTGATATCTTCTCAGTTTTGTAATGAGGGCACTCCTCCCTAGCAAGAGCACTGTAGAAATGGTGCAGCCTCCTTCTCAGTGCATCCTGTCATGAGACTCATGATGTTGAGGAGTTTATTACTGGTCATGCTGGCCTTATCACCTGCTCAAGGTGCTCTCAGCAATTTTCCACCATAAAAGTACTATTCTTCACCCTGGAGCCAACAAATATTTTAGGGAAGATACTTTGAATCTGTACAAATCTCTTATGCCTTTGCTCACTGATTCTAGTATCTATCAAAGGCAAATTTATCACTATCTATAATGTTCTAGTATTTTAAAAATGTGGAATTTATACTACTTGGGTAATAAAATATAAAGCAAATACAAACAGTGTTATCTCACTCAGAGGAAAATAACTCTTTTCTCTTTAAAAAAAATTTATAAAACCAAAAATGTTTTCATGGAAAAATGTTTTGTCCAAGGACTTGATATAAATTATGTGTAAGAGTATGGTAGATATAAAAATAACATGATATACAGAGGTAAACAATTTCTTGGTAAAATAATAACACTAAAAATGTCACTAAATACTATTGCTATTCTTGAAATTTTGTTCTGTGAAACAAGACCTGCATGATGAGGAGAGATTCTGTTTGTGCTGGAGCTCTGCCTTTTAATATTATTAATATTAAATTAATATTATGTTACGTTGGGTTACTTGGGTGGCTCAGTGGGTTAAACGTCCTGCTCTTGATTTCGGCTCAGGTCGTGATTTCACCTTCACGAGATCAAGCCCTGTGCCAGGCTCTGCTCTGGGCATGGAGCCTTCTTAAGATTCTCTCTCTCCCCATCCTTCTGACCCTCTGCTCTCTCTCTCTCTCTCAAAAACAATTTTTTTTTTGGTCATGTTTAAGCTTAGAGATTTTGGCCAAGGCTAGTGTTCACCCACAAGTTTCTGTGGCGTCAAAGTTTGTTAGTATACTAAACGGTACCTGTTTATGCTGTTGATTTGGTATCATTTAGAAACTTCTTGTTAATAATTCTGACTCCAGAGGGTGCCTGGGTGGCTTAGCTGGTTAAACGTCTCACTTTGGCTCAGGTCATGATCTCATGATTTGTCTGTTCGAGCCCCGCATCAGACTCTGTGCTGGCAGCTAGAAGCTTCAGATTCTGTGTCTCCCTCTCTCTCTGCCCCTCCCTCACTTGTGTCTGTCTGTCTCTCTCAGAAATAATCAATAAACATTAAAAAAGTTAAAAAAAATAATTCTAACTTCAGGATACCAACAGGGGTCTGTTGATTTAGGTAAGGTTCCATCTAGCTTTAATCATTTCATGGTAAGTTTCCAAGGTTTATTATGGGTGGGAACACATCTCCTTGAGAACATTTAGCTTCAGAGCCTGCTAAAGGGACAGTCTGTAATGCATTATGTATACATTTTGATGTATATATACATCAGCTACTGTGTTTAATACTTATCTCCATCATTTTCCATAGGTCTCTACCCTCCACGAGCCAAGCTGGTAATACAGAGGCATCTCTCTTCACTGACAGATAATGAGCAGGCAGACATCTTTGAGCGCGTCCAGGTAACATAATTTATAGTTCTCACAAATAAGATTTAAGAAATGAGAATTGGATCCTGTTTTTATAAGTGTTTTTTTTTTTTTTCACTTCTCTCTCTGAAGTTAAAGATATATATTCTCTTGAACTGTATATGATAGTAATGAGAATGCCCCTGTTACTTTTGCTTCTAAGGGCAGTGAAACACTTAGCGTTATTTATGTCTGTCTGCCAGACACATAAAACCAAGAGGGAATACAATAAGATGAGAGAAGCTGTGTTGCCATCATGTGCTCTTGGTTTGTCTGTTGGACAGAAAATGAAGCCAGTCAGCGACCAGGAAGAGAATGAACTTGTGATTTTACATTTGAGGCAGCTGTGTGAGGCCAAGCAGAGGACACACATTCACATTGGAGAAGGCCCATCGGTGAGATGTTTTCTTTTCTTGGACCTACTTTTGTTTTGTTTATGTATTTACTCAAAATATCACAGAAGATGTGAAAGGAGTTTCTTTTCTTTGTGTTCTCATCATTAGGGCTAAAGTCCCATCAGATTCATTTTTCAGCTATTTATGGGAGGTTTTAACATTGAGATAAAATAATGATGAGTTTTAAAATGTGAAAAAAAGGATTATTGTTATAAAAACAGTAATAGTAAGTGTTCATGATTTAGAATGAACATGCAGTTTTAGTTATATTAACCCATTTTATTTCAAATTCATATGAACATTTTATTTCGTTAAAAGTTCACACAGGCTTGAAGGGTACATAGCAAATACGCAAAGAAGCAGTAGTATTTTGGAAACATCCCTTTTAGCTGCAAAGGAAGATATGGTATTTTTGTGCATGTGGTGGAGAATGTGTTTCCAGCTGCATGTAAATAAAGCAAGACACCAACAACGCATGTAGGGAGACGATGACATATTTACTTAGTAACACTAATTCAGATTAGTCTGTATTTCACTCTATTCAGAACAAATCACATATCACTTTATTAGTGATTCCTGAATTGTATGCATTGAATAGTCTCTTCGAGAGAACCTTCTATGAGCTAAGCTGTGTGATAATAGTGAACAAAAAAGAGATGAATGAATCTTCCAGGAAAGCGCTCAAATATTGGAAAGGGGAATGCAGACAGATAAATGGACACATAGAATAGAGGTAACAAAGTGGCTTTTTAAAAGAAGTGCAGTGAGCTCAAAAATAGCTATGTTTTTGCTTTAGAGCCAGAATGGAGAGTAAAGAAAGAGGGAAGAATTAAATAATTCAAGAAGAAGAAATTTGGGGGAGGCTGAAGTTTTAGGGGAGATGGTTTGTTCATTGAAAAATTCGAGGGAGTGTTTCTAAAGGAAGGGACATTGAGCACAAAGTTTTGCGGTAGCTGTGAGCACGACATACTTCATGCAGGCCTTCAACATACTTAATGGATTTTTAGGATGTACCTGGGGATTGATGGGGAAATAATGGCTAGAAGGATAGGCAGCAGTGAGATGATGAAGAGCCTTAAGTGCTCAGCCTGACTTTGTCATTGAAAGGTTTCAAGTAAGAGTGTGAGATCAGGTTTGTAATTTAAAGAGATAATTCTGCTGTTATAGTGATGGTTGATTTGTGGGACAGGTTGATGGGTGAGGAGGTTGACAGTGTTAGGACTGAAGTCACATTCTCAAATCCGGAGAATTTGATAATAGAATATGCGAGAAGTAACTCATTTAGTTATTGCACAAACTGTTATCAAGTTGCGTACTAGGTACTAGGCAATGGGGTTGAATAATGACAGCTCTTTTCTGCCATCTAACTGTTGAGGAGGAGAAACTGACATATAATCAAATAAAGTAAAATATGGAGATATACGGCAGGATTGGGACAATGATATAAGTATATCCCAGAGAGGGATAACACCTATACAAAAAAAGACAGAGTAATTCTGTCTTTAAGAATTTATTTTGGGGGTGCCTGTGTGGCACAGTCAATTAAGTGTCCAACTCTTGATCTCAGCTTGGGTCATGAGCTCGTAGTTTGTGAGTTCGAGCCCTGCATCAGGCTCTTCGTGGATGATGCGGAGCCTGCTTGGGAGTCTGTCTCTCCTTCTCTCTGCCCCTCCCCCACTTTTGTGCATGGTCTCTCTCTCTCTCTCTTTCTCAAAATAAATAAGTGAACTTAAAAAAAAAGAATTTATTTTGTCTTGGAGAGAAGCTGAGCTAGAGCACTACTGGAGATATGGGAAAGGGAATGAGGCAAGAACCATTTAGGAGGCGTGATCATTAGGACTTGGTGACTGGGAACATGTGTCAAGGAGGGAAAGGGGATTGCTAGTAGAGGCCACACAGTTGCAGATTTTGGGGAACTGTATGAAACTAGTCTAGGACATGTAGAAAGAAAACAAGAGTGGGGAAAGGGATGGAAATAAGAAATAAGAGTTCAATTTTAGAAATGTGTTTGAGATTTAAGTAGAAAAATGGATTTGGTGCCCACAGAGGAATTTGAGTTCATGGTGTAAATATGGGAGACATTGGGCTCTGGCATAGACTTGAAATCGAAGGGGGAGGTACCGAGGGACACCTGCATGTCAGGCAATGAGGGAATTAAAATGGTGCCAGTGAAAAAGACAGAAAGAGAATGAATGAGATTTGCCATGGTGGGTGACCAAGGTAGGAGAAAAGTTCAAGTTAGAAGATCAGCCATTCCAGTGATATAGGCAGGTCAAGAAACATAAAGTCTTGGGATTTTAGTAAGTTCTCCCTCACTTTCTCTCTTCCCCCCACCCTTCCTTTCTTCTTTCCATTTATTTACCTGGTATTTACTGAGCATCTACGGTGCAAGCATCGTGCTAAGCACCATTACAATTTCTCTATTTTAGTCATGTTCTTTGCCTGAAAGCCTGACAAGAATGCCCTCCTAATCCTTTACATACACGCAGCCCAGTCCAGCTCACATCCATAGCCATGGCTTTCCTTCCTTTCTTGAGGGGGATCATATATATATTTTTTTAATCAGTAACTTCTTAACCCCATGGAGCCAATTCTAATGACTGTGATGAATTTTCCTGTCTGGTCTTTCATTCTCTGATTTCCCTGTCCTTCCCATGATTTTTGAATATTGCTTTCCAATAAATCTTTCCCCCAGACATTACTTTGTGATGCCCCTCTGCTTATAAAATCTGATCCGTGATTCCTCCCATTCAAGGTTTCATATCCAGCCTCACTTTTCCAAGTTAACCTTCCACTACTTTCTTTTGTTTTAACCAAACACCTGCACTGTCTCACTGCCCCATGGGCATTGGTCTTTAGGATTTTGCTGTCATCCCCAGTTCCAGGACCATCTTCATCCCCTTTTTTTCTGCCTGTATGAATCTTGCCTATCTTTTTATTCCTGACCACTGAGACCCACAACCAATCTTTTGATTCCTGAGACCCACAACCAGTCTTCACACTTCCAGATTTGATACATGTTGTTTTGTGTTGCTGTTTAATGTGAATATATTTCTTTCTCAAACAAATAATAAAGTTTCTTTCTTGGAAATTTTCTACCACTAGGAACCATAGTAGCTTTTTAGTGCACTAGGATAAAATAGAGAATCTAATATAGTGGACATATTGTAGATTCTCATACAGTTTGTAGTATCTATGAGTATTTGTTGATCTGAAAGAAATGACCCACTCACAAATGAAAATGGGATTTTAACAGAGGCATCAGCAGAATTCAGTTTCACTAGATGCTTTGTTCTTTGAAACTTTTTTTTCTATGTTTTCCTTCATAATTTGGGTATAAAATATGTGGCTTGAAGAGGGATGGTTATAGTTGTTAGTCAAAATGGCAGTAAAAATTGACGTGTCAAGTTTAAATTTTTGTTAAATGCAGCAGGAATATATTAGCAGAAAGGAAAGGCATAAACGAGAGATCTTCTGTGTTTTTTTATTACTTGCAATATTAAAAAGTAACCCCCTGTCCTTATAATCTGTATGCTCACAGTGTGGGACCTAAATTATTACTCCTTAATAGAACTGCAGAAGAATTCTTACGGTTTTTAATGGTTTAGTCAAGCCTGTATTTAAAGGCTCATTTAACCCTGAATGTTTCCAAACTAAAATTTATCTGTTTTTCTTTCTATAGACAATTTCAAATAGTACCATCCCGGAAAATGCAACAAGCAGTGGAAGGTTCAAACTTGACATTCTGAAAAATAAAGCTAAGAGATCTTTAACTAGCTCCCTGGAAAATATCTTCTCAAGGGTAAGATTAAACAGAGACTCTTAATTAGATATTGATGTCTGTGTTTACTAACTGCTTTACTTCATTCTCAACTGTCTCACAGAATATTTCCTTTCAAAAAAATAAACCACAAAGATCGCTTTAATATAGTTAAATTATTTAAAGTAATCTCATGATTTATTCTGGTGCTTCTAATATCTAAGTTTGAGCAAGAGATTTAGTAGTAGAAATATATATATATATGGGAACTCAAAATACTTCATTTTGCTATTATTAGGAGCTGACAGGAAATGCTGAAAACAGTGTAAATTAATAGAAATCTACATATTCCATTTAATAAATTTGTATATTTTATTTTAAAATCAAAGTGATTTCTCTTCCCCTCCATTATTCTCTTCCTGAATGGTTCAGTCCAAAACTGTCAGATGAGATCAGACAAGGTAGAGGTGTTAGGGCTGGAGGGTGGGAGAGTTACAGTGGCTCAGAGCAGAGAGATAGAGCCTGTGGGGTGCTGTGTGTGGGGTGGCCCAATGCAACCTGTGAAAACCAGAGTGTGGTGAGGAGTGTGTCAACTTAAGAGGGTAACCTGGTTCAGGAAGTCTGAGCCTTAGCCGATGAGGAGGCCAGTCCTGCATAGGGATGGCCCAGTGCAGGATGTCAGAGTGAGAGTGAGTGGAGGGGAGAAGGCATTCAAGGTGCTGGTATGAGGAGTTAGAGTCTGAGCAGGGTGGGGATGGCCTCTGTGGGTGGGCATGGCAGCCCTGATATGGGGTGTTGGAACCTGAGTAGGATGAGGAGAGTGTCTGTGAGGTGTCAGTTGTGGAGATTTTAACACACAAGGGACTGGTCAAATATGTAAACGTATTAAGGATTTAGTAAAAGGAAATTACAAATATGAAAAGGGAAGAAATTAGAATAAACCCCATGTTGTTGGATTCAACTCAGAGGTAACAGTATGGAATCCTGGTTATCTATCTATATATTTTTGAATAATAGAGTTTTATGTATAATATGTAATGTGTGTATATGTGTTAACACGTGTGTGTGTGTGTGTGTGTGTGTGTGTGTGTAAATCTGTATGTGGTCCCTGGCTCTGTCCACTGATAGGAGCTGGGAACAGCTTTTCTGCAAATAACAGATAAATTAAGCCTGCTTGGGTGACACCAAGCACCCAAGGTTTGGTTTCTGTGTATCATTCTACAAGAGGGAACTGGGATCCTGGGAGAAATGGCTGATTCCAGGACTTCAAAAGGAAGTAGATGATAAACAGAGCATGTTGGTATTTTAGATAATAAGGGAATGCTCAAAGAAAGATGGTGGTATGTCATAAAAACCTTGAGGGGCATCCGAATGGCTCAGTCGGTTAAGCGTCTGACCTGATTTCAGCTCAGTTTATGATCTCATGGTACGTGGGTTTGAGCCCCACATCATGGTCTGCGCCAACAGTGTGGATCCTGCTTGGGATTCTCTCTCTCCCCTTCTCTGCCCCTCCCCTGTTAGCTCTCTCTCAAAAATAAATAAACACATTTTTAAAAAAGTTTTAAAAAGGCCTTGAAGGGCTCCCACACTTGACATCTGAGGCAATATAAACGTCAAAATAAATGATAGCAAAGGATTGTAACCTGTTGCATGAAGTAGGAAACGACGAGCTCACTCTGATAGGAAACATAAATGAATACCTTGGAAGTTGATCATGATCAGGATATTTACTGGATTTAATTAATACTTTTTAATAACAAAGAGGAAAGTAGTAACTTCACAGTGGAGAAGACTGGCAGACACCACCTCAGTCAAGTGACCCAAGGGAACGTCATCAGCAATGAGACAAATTGAAATCTTGCGCGACTTGATACAGAGAGTACAGAACTTCTGTGGTATTCCTGCCAAAGGAGCAGTACCTGAATCTAAGCATGAGGTAGAATCAACAAACCCAAATTGAGGGACGGTCTACAAAATTACTAGCCTGTTGTCGTCACAAGTATTAGGGTCAGGAAAGTGAAGTGCAGGGGAGCATTAGGACATAGTACCTTCTGATGTAGGGTGTTCTTGTTCTTTCTTCTTTGCCTGAACTCAAAATACTTTATAGATATATCTCTTAATTAAAGTGATCAGCTACCAACCCTATTATCAGCAGAAGATACAATGTAGGAAAAGAGTATTCTACAAGATTAATCAGAAGTGTGTTAAGGCACCATTTCATAAAATTGTCCTATCTTTTTCTTCCCCAGTATTTATAAGTTACTTGTGTTCCTTCTTTCTCTCTCCTTCCTTTTCTCACTCCCTCCTGCCCTCCTCCCCTCCTCCCCGCCCTCCTTCTCCTATCTCCCATTGTATTTAGTGAGAATTTTAGTAGAAAGGCCATTTAAGTAGGTGGTCTGGGGACCTGAATTCAAGACCTGGCCCTAGTAGGTTTTATATGTATGATCCCAGACAAATCATTTTCTTCTAAGCCAGTTTCCCCATTTGTGAAATGGGCATCCTGATACTGTGCCTATCTCACATCAGTACGAGGATGAAATGTCACTATGTTGGGAAAGTATCACAGTGTAGATAGGAGATGGTCCAGACAGTGGGAAGCTCTGAAACCCTTGTCATTTTTGGAATGACCCGAGGGTGCTTAGAGTATTACTCTCCTCATCCCCATTTAGTACTTTGGCGTTCTGCACAGCACTTGCACGGCTGACTTTGAAGTGCCACATACATAGCCTTGAGTGGCTGCAACAACTCTGTCGGCAAGGGCACACACAGCCCATCTATTTTGGTCGAGGAGGATGGTGTAGCTTTTGTGCCCCACAGTGCTGCCAAGTGCCATAAATTATGTGACCCAACAAGATCTTGCTTGCACCATGTGCAGCAGAATGGACTTAAGGGGAAGGTTGGCAGCTATCCATGGTGTGTTAAAGGTTACTCAGAAAAGGGGTTTTGTGTACCTCTAAAACTGATCAGTGTATCATTTTCATTCTGAGTTATATGGTAGAAAATTGGCACTCCAGCCACAGATTTTGGCTCATAATTGCTGCCATTTTTAAATGTGAAGACAGTTGATTTAACTAACTATAGCTGTTTATGAAATAGGATATGTTTTTAAAATGCTCAGAAGCTCAGCTCATTAACAATTAAAAAGTGGGTCCAGGGGAAGAGGCGTGCCACATGTATTACCAAATCATCAGACAGTTAAACTGGAAAAGCTGTCTGCTCAGAGGTGAAAAGACAGAGTCCTGTATTCTGGGTATTTGTTGCTTTTTCATTAGTTGAAGTTTTACAGAAGGGAAATATTCACTAATGTGTTTATGTATAGATAAATATTTCCAAAAGAGGAACGTTTATCAATATAAAGTATGCATCATTGGAAAAGAGGTCTCATTTTATGCTTCCCTCAGAGTACTATCCATTGTCCTTCCTTGTTGAAATGTGTGAATTAATGACCATGATAGAGCATAATTTTATTTATTTATTTATTTTAAAATTATTTATTTTTGAGATAGAAAGAGAGCGATAGGGGGCAAGTGTGTGCGTACAAACAGAGGAGGGGCAGAGAGGGGGAGAGAGAGACAGAGAATCCCAGGTAAGATCTGCACTGTCAGCACAGAGCCTGACACAGGGCTCAAACTCATGAACCGTGAGATCATGACCTGAGCCGGAATCACGAGCTTGATACTTAACCAGCGGAGCCACCCACGTGCCCCTAGAGTATAATTTTAAAGTAAATTTGTTTTTCTTTGTGTCCGCACACACACACACAAAACACATGGATAAAACACTGCTATGACTAAAATGTGTGATTTAAGTGCTTTTCTAATAATGGAAATGACTTGATACCTGTCTGACCAGTCTCCTTATTGTGACCAAATAGCCTGTTTAAGATAAGCAGGGAGGTTGGCCTGGAAGTAGCAGCTAAAAAATAATGGGAAAAACAACCTGGTCCTCACAATAGTTTCCTCTTGGCCACGCACATGAACCAAACCATTGATCCGCCACAAATATAGTTTATTACTGGAAGTGTCTGTTGTTAGGCATAGAACTGAAGAACTGAAAGAACATTGATCAGGTTCTTTGCAGGACATTTGAAAAATTACCAGTGTAGGCTGCTTAGTTTTATTAGCAATTCCACTTTTCACCAAGTTCTGTTTACAGGAGATAACAGTGAATATGAGCTCAAGAGTTCCACTGCTAAGTTGAAATTCTTGGGTTCAAATTGCTGCCCAGTCCTTGAACTAGCAGTGTAAACTTTGGCAACGTAATCAGAATTTCAGTCTCCTTAACTGTAAAGTTGAGCTAAGTAACTATATCCATCTTGGAGACTCTGTGAGGATTAAATGAGATAATGCACTATAAAATGCTCAACATAGTATATAGAAGGTGATAGGTACTCATTGATATTTTATGTGGCCATCAATTTTACTGTTGATATGATTGTTATTTAGGTGCCAACAGAAATAGAAAAATATAATTGATATACGTAGATAAGAATAAGTATTGTTTCTATGAAACCAGGTGTAGGATACCATACATATAAACGAGTCAGTTGAGAGAGAACAAGAGTCACCTGAGTGAACAATTGAATCAGCAGCCAGTTGGGTGAACAAGAAAGAACTGTTAAAACTTTCTGGTAGTAGACATCCAAAGAAAAATTCAACACAAGTCTGGGAAGCTAGAGTTGGAAAACTTTTCCAAGAAACTCTGTTTCTTGGAAATGGAGAATAGGAGGACAAGGTGAAAAAAGGATCAGTCTGAAGATCCAAATGCCGAGTGGTAGGAGTTACAGAACGAGAAAATACCCCAGTCTCCCTTTCTCAGAAGGCACCTGGAGTATGCACTCCACCAAAATGAGGAAGTAAAAAAGAGGAAGACATAAGATTACAGACACATTTCAACATAGGGTAGTATTAAAAGAAATGTCTAGGTTGGTAGTAAAGGAAAATACTGGCAAGTCTAAATTGCAACCTGTCCAGAGTAAGGTAAAAAGGCAGAGGTTTCTATAATGCGTAGCTCAAAGAGAAAGAAAAAAAAATGGCAGTTGATGGATTATGTGATGTTTGGCCATACTGAGTTCTGTTGTTGACTTTCATAATAAACTAGTAACTGCTGAGGCACTTGTTGATGAAAAACAGATTGTACAAGATAGTAGTTGTAATCACAGTAGAATATGTAATAGATGAGATGATCTCTTCAGTTCCTCTTTCTTAAATCATCTATGAAATCCATACCAAACAACTACAAAAAAACAAAACAAAAACAAAAAACAAAGAAACCCCACAAAAACCAGTTCACCCGTCTTGAAGCAGACTGACGGATAGTCTAGCATTTCTAGAGAGAAATGTTTTATTGACGTAGTTTTCATATGGAAGAATGAATGAAGCTGAATCTATACATTTTATGACGCAGTTGTTTGTAATTTGCATTCCTTAGCTCATTTTTTTAAGAGAAAGAGGGAGAGAGAATCCCAAGCAGGCCCCACACAGTTAGTGCAGAGTCCGATGCGGGGTTTGAACCCATGAACCGTGAGATCATGACCCGAGCTGAAATCAAGAGTTGGACAGTTAGCCAACTGAGCCACCAGGCAGCCCTCCAATGGAGTTTTTAAAAACTTGTTTATTATAATCCTATAATGTGAACTATGTTGTTTGTAATCTAGGTGTTGTGGAGGTTGGATGTTTTGAAACTTTTTTTTTAATGTTTATTTTTGAAAGAGAGAGCTAGGGAGGGGGGAGGGGCAGAAAGAGAGGGAGACAAGAGGATGTGAAGCAGGCTCCATGCTGACAGCAGAGAGCCCGATGTGGGGCTTGAACTCACAAACCATGGGATCATGACCTGAGTAGAAGTCAGATGTTTAACCGATTGAGCCACCTAGGCGCAACACCACCCCCCCCTTTTTTTTTTTTTTTACCTTTTTCTTTATAACTGTTGTGGTTTGTTGTGTTCTGCCTTCCACGGTTATGTTTATCTGTATGAGACATAAAGTGAATGGGGCTGTCTCTGATCTTATGGGGTTTTCCTAATCTTATGGATGAAGAATGTTTAACCTTGTAACCAGAGTAACTTTAAAAACCTTGATCAGAGGGGCGCCTGGGTGGCGCAGTCGGTTAAGCGTCCGACTTCAGCCAGGTCACGATCTCGCGGTCCGTGAGTTCGAGCCCCGCGTCGGGCTCTGGGCTGATGGCTCAGAGCCTG